CTTAGCTTTTTAGCTGAAAATTTGCAAGGATGTATTTCTGAGCATTGTGAACAAAGTTAGCTATGTGGCATCTAAAGGAAGGAGCCTTTTTCAAACCCTACTGATTTCGTCGACTTGTTGATAGCTAATTTAACGATGTGTTCTTTGAGTTTTTTGATAACATGAAAATAACAAAGTAGTGCGGTTGATGAGAGGAAAACTTCTCGTATCATCATCGATAGTTCGTTAAAATCTTTATCGATAAAAAATGTCTGGATAATATCATGATTATCATATGTTGTTTTAAATTTTAAAAGCAATTCTCGTATGTTTTCTTGCGATTCATTCGCCAAAAAGCCAATACCAGCTGGTTGACCTACGAAAAATAAAGAAACCGCAAAATGTGTTAACGCGAATGGTCTTTCCAGCGCACTTTTTAGCGCCGAAATATTGAAAATATGGGAAGGGTCTTAAAATACGGAAAAAGTTGAATTTTTCTCCTTTTTGCGGAGACCTCGTCGCAAAAAGCTATCCATTTTTTTTTGATAAAGATGGAACCTTCATCCTTGCGCCATTCGATCGGTCTTTATCCTGACTGCAAAAATATAACTCGGTTCATTTGAAATTTCTCTCGGTTACTGATAAGTTTTACTTTTGCTAAATCAGGAGCGAAAAAATTGAAATTCTGCCCGTAATTCAATTTTCTCCACCAGACCTCATGTTTTATGCAATAAAAGGATCATATTCGGAGTCAGCGTCAAAAACTCAACCGAATGAAAGTACCAGTTTTTCCTATCCGTCTACTTTTATTTTGTTCGAATTTTCGTGTCGAAAAATTGCTGAGATTTGCACCAAACAGCTGAAAATCAATAAAAACTTTCAAAACATATATCAGTCGACTCACTTTTTGACGATGGCTCCGAATATGATCCTTTTATTGCATAAAAATTAACTTCTGGTGAAGAAAATAGGCAATTACGGCAGAATTTCGATTTTTTTGCTCCTGATATAGCAAAAGTGAAACTTATAAGCAATGCAGAGGCATTTAAAAAAAAACGAGTTATGCTTCTGCGGTTTGGTTGAACCATCAGATCCGGAAGCAACAATATTTTCTTTTTAGCCGCAGTTTTAAACTGAGAACTGTGTTTAAACTGAGAGGTGTGTTGTTTCAGTCAATGCGAAATTTTTTTATTTTGCTTTTCTCAATATTGTGGTTAACGCCTTCCTCGCATAAAAGGTACTAACCGGTTCCACGACTGACTTGAATTAGAAAAACATATAAACAGAAATTTTCCAAATTTAGCTTTCTATTGGAAGTGACAATAGCTCCTTGCTGCCAGGTCCGGAAGTGGCAATAGCTTCTAGTTGACACTTTCAGAAAGTGGCAATAGCATCTTATTGACACTTGTACGTGGCAATAGCTCCTTGCTGCCAGGTCGGGAAGTGGCAATAGCTTCCAGTTGACACTTTCAGAAAGTGGTATTAGCTCCTTAGTGGCACTTCCGAACGTGGCAATACCATCTTATTGACACTTCTGTAAGTGGCAATAGTCATTCCGATAATTTTAATATCGATGGCTACTGGAAAACCCGATGTCGGAATTTGTCATATGTATTTGAGAAAAGGTCAAACCACCACAATCACCGCATCTAATAACTACATCATAACATCTAATGATTTCAACAACTGATCTGCTTTTACTTATTCAAAAGTTTATCTCTATGTGTTTTTTCGTCTCCAATAAGTGATATGGATATGTTAAATATACAGGTGATTCTTTTGAAAGCGTACCGGAGTTTGCATCGACTTTGTCTGAATTGTTCTGGAGTAAGAGGACTAGGACAACTCGGTCTCCTGGTGACGAATATCACATTTAAAAACTTTTAAAACAATGGCATGGTAGCCTTCTAGACCTGCGGTACTCCCATTTCCCAGCAGAAGCGTCCTTTTGTGGGCATTTTCACCATTTTTCAGTAAAATACTTTCATGAGATGGTACCGTCAGATTACCTTCTATATGTGCAGAGCTACAAAATCACTAGCGGAGAAAAACTTCCGAAATGTCGACCACGTTCTCAGAAGAATATTTAAAAATCTCGAAAAGTAGGCTGTTTTTGCAAACTGCTTTTCCCCCATAAAATCATATCAACAAAAGACAACAAGATATGCATTTGACGCGCCTTTTCACGTTCTATCCGGTGAAGGGGTTCGCATTGCGAACAGAAAACGTTTAATGGTAGCAAAAACAGCTTTTAAAGTCGATTTTCCTCGTTTTTCAAAGTTTGAGTGCGTGCTGCACCATTCTACGGGATTGCAGGACGTGAGATGACATATATTTCGCATGTACGCGGTGTGGGCTATTAGAAAAACAGGTTTTCGTCAACGGCCACGAACCTTCGAAACAGACCGAAATTCTGTGGGATTTTCGCTGAAAAGCATCTATTTCGAAGGTACCAGCTGATCTGACGGTACCAACTCATGAAAATGTTTCACTAGGAAATGGTGAAAATGACCACAAACGGGCTGTTCTGCTGGAAAATGGGAGTTTCACAGGTCGAGAAGGCCATCATACCGTTGTTTTAAAATTTTTTAAACATGATATTCGTCATCAGGAGCTCAAGTTGTACTAGTTAGTGATGGGCCGTCGTGTAGTCGTTAAACATGAGTATTGATTGATAGATAACGAAAGGAAGGAAAGGAATAAAAATTACGGTGTCGCTGTAGTCGCTTATTACTTGCATGGCATTTCGCTATATTCGAATATAATGTGACCTGTCCTGTGCCTTACGTCTAAATTTAGAGTTCACATACTTGATAACTAACGGAAAGGAAAGAAAACAAAATGTTACGTAAGAAACGAGAAAAACAAAATGGCAGCTTACCGTCCAAACGAAATATGGAATTCTTAACGTAAGAAACAAATTAACGTTAAGTATTACAGGACAAATGATCACGCTAAAGAAATGAAATAATATGAAATGAACAGGAAGAAAATACATCGTCTTGTCCATAGAAGTGTACTATCATGCCTAGCTGATAATGACTCACTTACGTTATCTCGTTAAGAATGATTCACTTACATTAAGACTTTCGCGTAATATACGTAACTCCTTCGTTTCGTACGGTGCATTTTCCTTAATGTCGCACGTTATGTTTTCTCTTTCCTTTAATTTTATCGTCATCCGTGACTTATACTATACATGTATAGGTCACGAGAGACGAAAGAATAGATACTAGAAAATTAACGCTTTTTGCGTCTTACGCCCCATCACTAGTACTAGCCCTCTTACTCTCGAACAATCTGAATGTGGTCGATGTAAATGTGGTACGTTCTCGAAAGAATCACCGATATATCTTTCACTTCAAGACTTATACTTTCGTTTTCACAGTCTCCGTACTAGAGGTCTGTACGGGCACGGGAATTTCCGTAGCCGCGGGCGTGCCCGTACTGCCCACAGGCATGGACAGACACGAGCAGACTTGAAAGAAACACGGACGGGCATGCACGGACAACTGCTTCTCTTCGACGGGTACGGGCTTCTCAAAAAGATATTTTAAATTTTTTGAGCAAGAAAATGGTACGAAGATTTTATTTTTTTGTGAATGAAATATAGACAGTTAGAAACATGCTACAGAAAGGACAACATAATATACAAGCGTGGACGAGAATTTTTTTTTCATATACGGACTATTGATATACGAAAAAAATTCGCGGACGGGCACGCACAAGCATCCTTAGTAGGCTTACAGGCATAGGCAAAAAATCTTGCCCGTGCAGATCTCTACTCCGTAAGCTAGTACACTTCTAGATTTTTACTTTTTATTCGTGAAAACGAACCTTTTATAGTTCGAAAAGCCGAATATTAATCAAATTAAATAATGAAATTTAATATCGCTGTTGTTATCGTACTTTTCACTTTTGTTCTTCACGCCAGCCATGACGTTTTTTGTAATTCTTCACATATGCGTCGGTGCCTTTTATAGCCTGTACCACATCATCCGATGTAACTTTAAACGGCATATTATGAATGGATTCACCCTCTGCCGTAGCTATCTCCGCAATTTTGTAGAAATCTTCGTCGGTGGCGTTCTCAAGGTAAATATCTTTTAGTGTTACCGGCAACCCGAGTTGGAGATAGAGTCCAATATAACGATCTAGCTCATTCAATGGTTTGTTTTCCAGCACGAGTTGGGTAATGGTACCATATGCTACTTTTTCACCATGTGTCAGGTGATGAATGTTACCGTCTATCGCCGTGAAACCATTGTGAATCGCATGGGCGGCCGCGAGTCCTCCAGATTCGAATCCGATACCGCTCAACAGTGTATTGGCTTCCACGACGCTTTCCAATGCCGACGTCACTAGTTTGTTCTTGTTAGCTTCAAGCGCTTGCAAACTATACTCGAAAAGTACTTGCTCCGCTTTCTCGGCAATGGCCTGCCCAGCAATGGTTGGTGCGCCGCCTGACACAATTTGACCATGCGATTGTTTAACAGCTCTCGCTTCCACCCACGTGGCTAATGCGTCTGCAATGCCCGACACTAGAAAACGTGGAGGCGCATTCGTAATAATGCGCGTATCAACTAAGACTAAATCAGGGTTTTTGTTGTAAAATCTATAGCTTTCAACTGCCCCTTTATCGGTATAAATGACAGATACGGCGGACGTTGGCGCATCTGTGGAAGCGGTTGTCGGAATAGTCGTTAGGAACAAGCCCAGTTGATTCGCAACTCCTTTTGCTGCATCCAATGTTTTTCCGCCACCAAGACCGATAACCACATTCGAACAGGCCTTTTTGCTGAGCTCGGTAATCCTGTCAATTTCCATCTTTGAACATTCCCCGCCAAATGCGACTTTTTCTACTCGGATGTCGCTTCTTTCAAGTATGTTAGCGAGGTCATTTCCAGCAATGTTCCAGACAAACTTATCTGCCAGAACTAAAGCCCTGTTTCCCAATTTTCCGATATATGCACCGGCTTTCTTGATAACATCTTTTCCCTGGACATAACGACTTGGACTTAAAAACACTTTTTCCATCATATAAATATATCTACAAAACGTGAAAGAGAGAAAGCCTAGAGTGAGCGAGAGAACGCTCACGTGATGTTATAACAATCAAGAAGATGAGTTAATACTTTCGCTCGTTTCTGTCGGTGTTCTGTTCTTTTGAAACTTAACCACGTTAATACACACTCGAATGCACATTGTTAAATACGCTGTTTCGTATTTGAGCACTGCTACGACGACATAAAATAATAGCGAGAAATGACTCTTTCATGCGTGCACGTGTCTCTGCTTTTTTATTTAAACATAACCACACACAAAATAGCGAGTTGGTGATGTCGTCACGGATACTGGAAATGGTTTATTTTATCCCCAAGAGATTGTATACTCTTGTAATGAGGTCGGCAATACTACTATTCGTTTGACCAGAAATACTCCGTTAGTGCTTGGGGTTCTGATAGTTAAATCATTCCTGTAAACTGAAAGTACATCTTAGATGTGTTTTAGTGGCACATATAAAAAATATACATTTTACTTCTGCATTTACATACAGCTGTCACTAGACGGCAACGGATATGTTTATAGGTATCTATTAACAGTTGCTAAATGGCTTATAATTTCTGAGAAACTAAAATTCCTATCGGAAAAACTTTCCTGGTCAGGAGATATATCTGAATGGATGCATCAATTAGGACTGATTAATAGATCAACACAATTGTTTATCCTTCAGCTTCACAAATAACAACAACATAATAATAATAACATATTAAATACATCTCGTCATAATTCAGTCAAAAGCCAATAGATGTTATTATTTAAGAAGTCTCTTACGTCATATTAAATACATGATTTATTGAATTTAAACATATATGTTAAACTGCGAATAATTCTAAGTTGTTCTACTGATATGGCTCCATTCCATATAATGACTTAGGTTATTTATCAAGAACTGCAGATTCTGTTAGTTTATTAATTATAACACTTTCTCGAAGATTTATGTGTACTATCGCTAGAACGAGATTTCAAAATTGATTTTGACAGTGTGGTTGAAGATTTTTCTGCCAATCATCAGAATAGAAGAACTATGTTAAAATACTAAATTGAAACATTTTTGTTGTTTTATCTATTGTTGTTATTTCAATGAAATATAAAACTGAATATTTTTGCTGTATTTTTATTTGTTAGCTCAGTATATATCCTGACGAAAGAGTCACCATAAAAAACAATTAATTCTGTATTGAATTAATAAAAAGTTTCATATTCCTAAGATGAGTCGAGAATTCTTGGGGGGGGGGGGGGGGGGGGGGGGGCCGGGTGGGCCAAATGCCGGGGGCCGCCCGGGGTGTTGGCCAGGGCGAATTGACCTAAGGCGATCGGGCGGT